AATCCAAGAAAATTCTATAGCAACGACATAATGGTTTTAGTAAAATAAAAAAAAAATAGGAAAAAGTTATGGAATAAAAAGGCGCTTACAGTTTTCTTTTTATCAGATTATAAAGGTTCGTTGGAAATATTGATCTAAATTTCAAAATTCGACACGAACTTATGGGATGACCCGATATTATTCGACTTTGTTTCCGTATTACAGATATTGGATTAATGGATTAAATAAATGGTGTTATTTTATTTTCTTTGGCGCGGAAGGACGTCGTAACGCTTTGAAAATCGCAGTCGAAGTGAAATTGAAAAACCCGTAAGGGCACGACAGAAAGTCTGTTGTCCACTTAAGAAAAAGAGACCAGGACTGCATCAGCCTTTTACCCAGGCCCCCCTAGGTATAAACAGTTACAGGCCTATAGGTTCGATGACATCTGGCCTATTATTATTATTTTCACTAGCAGTGCTTCTCATAAATAACACAATTCATTTTTGCTTACTAGCTAACGCATTATTATTAGTAACAATCCAACAACAGAAACTTCTCGTTAATTCTCCTTGCAAATTGAATTAGCAAGTCCGTTACGATTGAAATTTTCGTGCTCGAAAGGAAACTTCCTTTTTTCCTTTATACGTTACTTCGGAACGTCGAAAATCCTACACGTCCAGGGCAATATCGTTCGAGTTGCTTTTATTGTCTAGTTGATCCTTTTCCGAAAATTGTATTTCTGGTGCGTTGTCCAATAACGCGGAGCACTTCGAATTTTATCTGGTCCCACGGCAAATTCCTCGATATATTCGAGTTTCAAGATAGATACATCCGATGCAGCGGGTGGCATACTTATGTAACTATGCCGCGAATATTTCACGAAAGCGATGCACTTTCCGTCCTACCGGAATTTCTTGATGTGTAATCGAGTAACCGTAATTCTCCGCATAGTTTCCTCGTACCCGAGCATAATTGTGTGCGTGACGCGCGCTCACGCCAAAATCTAAAGGTTTACCTATACATTTTTGAAAATTACACTATTTCATCTCTAGCAAAATTACTGTCGCGTCGCGTTCTCCTTTGATTATTCAGTGTTCGCGCTCACGACTGTTACCCGCTAACTTAATCTTAGGTGACCAATTCGAAAATTTGTCTTGCTCGGAACGTTAGCAAATTTAGAGTGCGTCACGAAAACGATTGGGCGCTCACGACTGTTACCCGCCAACTTAATCTTAGGTGACCGATTCGAAAATATGTCTTGCTCGGAACGTTAGCAAATTTAGAGTGCGTCACGAAAACGATTGACGACTTGTTTTAAACTCGAGTATTCGATCGCGACTCCTACTTGTATCTCGTTGAATGGCTGGAGAATGTGTTGTTCACACGAGAGAATCCTTGCGAATGTGTTTCTCGATCCC